CGATAATTCTGACACCGCGAGCGATAGTTCTTCAGAATCAAAAGAAAACATTAGCTCGCCACCTCTGAAAAGAGAAAAACTTTTCGTTGGAAAAGAAATGTACAAAAGACTTCAACGACCTACCGTCCGTGAAATACTGAAAGACAACGAACAAGGTCGCTTGATAGTACGAAGTTATGCGCAAACAAAAATACTGTCGAAACATTCCCGGAACGTTCTTCTAGAACTACTCATATCACACTTAATAAATACCGTTAAAGGGTAAGTAAAATGTTTTACGTTTTACTTTAGTATAAGTATGAAATATAATTTAGTTAAATAATTTTTTTTATAATAGCCCGGTCAATAAACATGACTTTCTGCATTTTGCTCGAGGAATAATAGATGTATTTCCATCGGAGGACATAAATTTATATTATGTTGCACCGGTATCTAAAAAGGACTCTCGAAATAGAAAATCGATTTCTGTACGAGGCAAACTTGTAGAAAAATATCGCAATAAATTGAGACAAAATAAACGTATACTAGCAGATATTTCTGATGTTACAACTTCTACTGATCTTGAAAGTGAAGCATCTAATGACGGTAAGTATTTCAATAGATATTAAACGATATTTTCTTAACTATATAATATATGATCTATAATTCTATTTTTAGTTGTAAGTGAAGTGTTGGAGACAAGCGTCAAATGGTTGGAAACTAATCAAGAACCGTGGGAAGTAGTTGAAAACCACTGAAAGGCTACTGCTACTATTCGTTGGAAAGACAATCGAAACAATCGGGATACTTTGCTTTCTGATAAAATATTTGAAAAATGGCCGATTTTAAATCATCCAATAAGCTGGAAATTAATAGTTCAGGATTTCGAACATTTTGAATTAAGTTCGACAGAAGACGCTATTAATCAGTGGCCTCAATTCTTCCGAAACGTCTTAAAAGTTTGCCCTCTTGAGAAAAAGAAAACTGTTCAAGTGAATGAGCTATTAAAAATAATAGAAAGTGATCAAAGCGATGGTAAGCTTTTATATTATTGTACACAATTATTTTTATACAGTTATAAACTTAAAAGTATAATTTGTATAACGTTTTCGAAAACAGAATCTAAAGCTATTGCGCAATTGTGTGCCCTGTCATATATGATTCCTCCAAGAAGACGAGTTAGAACAAAGAAGGGTCATTGGAAACCTTCGATGACTGAGTCTGAAGAAAGTATTGTTGTGCATGTGTCAAGGTATGATTTAAAGTTTTATTCAATTTCAAAAAATAATGGGTGTACTTTATAATCATGATTTTTTTCAGACTGCTGCAGATATAAGTGGCATTCGACAAGAACGAATTGATGTGATGTACCAGATGAGTTTAACACTTCAACCATATATCATTGCCGTGGGACCTACCTTGGCTGAAATATCATCGTTTTTTATATCTGTGGACAAGGTCTTATACAACGTAACAAACGCGTTTACAGCAATCGACACTCTCTTCAAAATCTTTCATGTGTTGAATATCGAATATCCGGCAGCATCTCATCACATATGGGTACTGATCCAACGTGAGTTGTATAATTTTGTAACAAAATACGATAAAATACCATCGTACACTTTAGAGGTAATAAGTGCGATTAAAAATCTTCCAAAAAATTAATGAGATAAAGTAAGAAATATTTTATTTGTTACAATAACGACATAACCTAAAAAACGAAATTTTCCAGTTTGAATGTGTCGAGAGAATTATTAAAATTTTATTATTTTTTTAAATCGCGATTTTGGTGTAACGATTTTGTTTACCGATAGTAGAGGAATAAAAGTATCATTAGCTATTCATTTAACGTGTTTAGTTCTCATCAGAATCCTGTTTTCTTTGCAGACAGTTCAGGAATTATAATTTTTGTCGTTGTTGTAGCAAATAAGCAATATATAATTTCTTTTATTTGATATTTAAAAATTTATAAAGGTTATTTCATTTCTGCGATATTATTAAGTATAAAAAAACATTTTAACTATACTTTATAAAAATATAGTTTATTCTAAAATTTAATTCTTTTACGTTGTATTTTAATTAATAATATTAATTTAAATAGAATTATATAATAATTAATATTCTATTAATAATTAATAACACTAAAATTTTTCATAATGTACTCTTGCCCGTTTTGCTTTGATTCATATGGCTCTATTAGATGTTTGAAAGCACATTGTAAATTAAAACATTCTGCAAAACTACATTCTTTTTTTCGATGTCGACAAGAGTTGTCAACAGAAGTGCCAACAAAAATGTTGTGTTCTCGTGCTTTTAGTGATATTCATACTTTTCTTAAACACTTATCCAGAGCTCATTGTGAAACAAATATTAAAGACAATGTTCTAACCAATATTCAGACATATTACAATAACATAGATATTGATAACAGTTTAATGGAAGAGATGACAGCTAGTAATTTACCCACACAATCAATGCCATCTACTTCTTGTGCCATTATTAATACCGATAATATTTTTAAGGACATAACTGTTACGGAATTTACAGAAAAGGTCGCACAAATTTCAGCTTTATTTGTTGCAAGTTTATACTCTCGACCATCATTACCGCGAAAACTTTGTCAGGAAATAATGGAATCAATAAAAACTTTTCTTAATTGCGTAAAAATTATAGAGCAAAAATACAAGTCAATTGAACAAAATCCTAATGAAGATTTAAGTGCTATGTTTGATATTTTGGGTAATGCATTTGCAAATCATCCTTCGGAATACCAAACAATGCTTTATTTTAATAGTACCGCAAGAAATATGCATCGGCGCGTTTATTGATTCTAAACTTATGAATACTGCTAAACACACGCTCGTAAGAAATCGAAAAATGTGCATTATACCTCTCAAAAAAATATTAAAGACTTTTTTAGAGTTGCCTGATGTATATGACAAAATAATGTCCAACATTAGAAAAAGTGAACAGAACGAAATAATATCAAGTATATTACAGAATGAAATATGGCATTCTATTAAATAACAGCATAACAACGATGTATTACCTTTGATTCTTTATTACGATGAATTGGAGATAAATAATCCATTAGGTACTCATCGAGGTTTACATAAGCTTGGAGTGGTATATTGCACTATCGGTGGTATCGAGGAACAATACGCGAGTACGCTTGAAAATATTTTTTTGATGCAAATACATAACGTTACTGATTACGTACAAGTTGGTAATAAGCAGATTTTTGCACTTCTCATTAATGAGATTAATAAACTTCAGGTTAACGGTATAACTATAAATATCGGAAATTCGGAAAAAAAGGTAAATTTTGCGCTAATGAATATTCTTGGAGATAATTTAGGGATTCATGCTATTTTCGGATTAAATTCATGCCTTGTAGATACATTAACTCGTAAAAAACAGATTCTTGAAGATGTTGGGTTACTTCAAAATGTTGAAAATTATGCAACAGATGTCAGTCATAGAAATCATGGTATTATCGAGGAATGTACTTTCCATTCAATAACCAATTTTCACATCACAAAAAATCTCAGTGTCGATGTAATGCACGATTTATTTGAGGGAATTTGTTGCTACGATTTAGGTCAATTGTTAAACAGGTTAATAAATAAGGACAAATTATTTTCTCTCAAACAATTAAATAATAGAATTTACTCTTTCGATTACGGGGATAATCATTCTACAAACATACCGCCTTTAATTAACAGGGATGCTTTAAAAAAAAGATATATTATTTATTCTGCAGCTGAAATGGCATGTCTTTGGAAATATTTAGGTTTGATAATTGGCGATCCTATTCCAAAACAAAATAAAACGTGGAAATTATACATACTGCTTAGAAAAATGATGTCAATTATAATGGCACAAGAAGTAACCGATGAAAATTGTAGCTTATTGAAAAAGCTAACGAGTGAACATCATAAATTATATATAAATTAATTTGATGATACATTAAAACCGAAGCATCATCTTTTACTTCATTACCCACGAGTTATGCAACAGATAGGTCCTCTCAAATATATGTCGTCCATACGATTCGAAGCAAAACACAAAGAACTTAAACAGACTGCAAACGCTATTACGTCTAGAAAAAACCCTGCATATTCATTAGCTATGAAACATCAACTACAATTAAATTGTAGATTTATCTCAAATAAAGGGTTTGAAAATCGTTTAGAGTCGGGTGTCATCTTGCATGAAAATTTGATAGATATCGACTTTTTCAATAATTTTAAATATATACTACCGTTTGTTTCTTTTGATGGTTATAAATCTTTATCTTGGATAAAAGTTAATGGAACATTTTATAAACCAAACATGGTTATTGTAATAGATAAAACTAATACCAAATTTGGCAATATTCAATATATTTTAAAAAATGATTTACATGAAACTTTCTTTATATATAAGGAACTAAAAATAGTGCAGTTTAATTCTCATTTTTACGCATATGAGATAGAAAACACACAGTCTTGGGGATTTATGGCTCAGTCAAAACTTGAGATGTATAAAACTTGTAATAAGCATTTTATTGAGGGTAAAAGCTATATTCCAGTGCTTTAAACTCTTCCCTTCACTATTCAGCTGCCTCTTCTGTAATTTTAACTCTTGCATTGCGAAAATGATTTACGTGAAACTTTCTTTCTTTCCGTGAGAGACGAGAAAATTGCAAGCAAACTTATAGTAGTGTATAAGGAACTAAAAACAGTACAATTTAATTTTTATTTTTATACGCATATGAGATAAACTGTTTATAGTTTAAGTTATGCGATGTAATTATATAAGTACGTATATATAAGTGTTTTTTGCGATTAGTCTAAGAAATTTCTTTGTGATCTATAAAGCTTGTAATAATAATTTTATGAGGGTAAAAGCAATATTCTTGTGCTTTAAACTGTTCATAGTGTTTAAGTATGCTATGTGATAATATATAAGTGTTTTTGATGATAATTCTAATAAAGTTCTTTGTAACAGAAAAACATTTAATTGTTTTAACTTTCTCACATTTCACAATTATGTAACAATATTTAACAGTATGTATTAATCACAAAATGCTTGAAATATCATGTTTTCTGTTGTTTTAGGTAGAATTTGTAAAATAC